ATATGTTATGAAATTTCATAACATAAATGTTATGACTTTTCATAACATTTTTGTTATTAAATTTAATAACAATGTTAGTGTTAATGCTTCACAAAAATGTTATTAAATTTAAGAGAAAATTTTTTAACAGTGTTATTTCCACGTTATTTCATGAAACGTGAAAAACAGAACAAACTGCATCTCTCCGAGAAAACTGTTTAATTATATACTACATTTAGCAATAACTACTGGATTATCTTAATTTGTTTTTTATGGTTTATATCTGATGCATAGTGGCGGAAAAAACCTGGCATCCACGTGACATCCACCAATTCAGGTTCAAATTAACGAATGTCACAAAAGGGGAAATTATCCGTCTCTTTTCAGGAATAAGTTTTCGTTCTGCATTTAAAAGTGATCAAGAGAACAGAGCCAATGGTGGTTGAAATACCGTGGATGTATTTACGTCCACGAGATTTCTAGTAATCCCCGTGGAACCAACGTTGAATCCACGTACCGCTCCTCTTTGGGAAGGTGTCTACGTCGACAGATAGTTCGGGGGTTGTTTGTAGCCCAACGACCTCGACCAAAAAGATCATGTCGTAATATGATGAAAATTGCCTGAAAATCGGCTGAGCCCAGCTTGGCCGAGTTGGAAAAACGACGACTTTTGCACCAGAAACGAAAGGTATGGACGAAAATCTGTGAAGAGCATCATAGAACTGTCCGCGTGGTACCACATGTTTCGAAAAAAATAGGGAACAAAGAAACTTTTTGGGGCCCCACCGGCCCTTTTCGACCCAACACAGGGCGTATTCACTTCGTGGAAGACGTAAATTTACCCAAAATGCACAGTGTCTGCTCCAATAAACCACACGGAAAGAAAGACTTCGTTGTGAGGATCAGTTATGTTCGGTATGCTAAATTCGATAGCTGGAATCGAGAATCCGATACGCATAACCAAGGATTGGTCGCCACGACCGGACACTTGTACGAAGAGAACAAACTCCAGCTTGGTCTCTTCGTACAAGTGTCCGGTCGTGACAACCAGCTCTTACTTGTGAGTATCGGATCATCGATTCCAGTTATCAAATTTAGCCTACCGAACAGAAATGTTCTGGCATCCAAAACGAAGTCTTGTTTTTCGTGCAGGACCACGCCCAGTAGAGGGGGCGTAGACAACCCGGCACAAGTTTTTAGCCCGCCCTTCTGCTTTTAAAAAAGCATTAAAGCGG